AGGGGGGGCGGGGAGGAGGCGGAAATTTTTTTTTCCTATTCTCAATAAAAAATAAATAAATAAATAAAAATATAAACGCTAACCCAAGGATCCAATGGACAACTTTGTTTTTTTTTCATTAAAAATTTCATATATGGGTAATGTATTTCTACCATCTTCCCCTTTCTCTCCTCCTTCCAAGTCTTCCACTACACACTTCCCATCAAATCCATGCTCTCCTTTTTAAAAATTTTATTGTTTTATGCATGCTTATGTATATACACACAGACAGGCATGCATTATATATGCATTAATATATAAATCCAATCTCCTGAGTTCATTTAGCATTGTTCATATGTATATCATTTGGGAACTGACCACTTGGGACCTGATAACCCATTGAGGACTCATTCTGAAAAAAGATGGATTCTCCCTCTTTCAGGAGCTATTAATTGCCTGTAGCTATTGATCTAGAGGTTGGGCCTTGTGAGATTTCCTGCATCCATGTTGGCTCATCAACTGGTGTTGGTAAGGAACAACTCTATTGTAATTTTTCTATCTATTTTATTCAGATAGCTGATCCCTATGCTTTTCTTTCTACCTAGTCGAAGACAATCCTCCCATTTGACACCTTTCACTCTTGCCACCACCTCCAATGTTATTCTCTGTAACTCTGTCAAAAAACAGGATGTAAATGTACAGGATGTAAAGCACATCTTGTCTCTCTACTATACAAAGTCATGCAATGGCTTCCCACTGTAGGAAGGATAAAACACAAAGCCTTGTAAAGTTGGATCACTGTTCACAATCCTTCAGCTGTCTGTTACACTTCTTGCCACTCACTCAACTTCAGCAACACTGACCTTCCAGTTCTCTAACATCTATGTCATGTCATTCCCACTTCAGAGACTATTGTCTTTTTCTCTGTGTAGAACTCTCTTCCTCCTGTAGTTACCCTGTTAATAGTACTAATCTCAGTTTCCTTCTAAAACGATTACACTTCATTAGGAAGGTCTTCCCTAATCTTTCCCCAGTTGTGGTAAGAATTTCCTTTATTGTTCTCTCTCAGAGAAACTGTCTTCCTAGTCAGAGCAGTGACAACTCCACAATTTTGCGCCACACTAGTCTCTGTCCCATCCAGAACAGATGCAAAACATATGGATCCTAGCCTGAGAGCACAGGGGTGTGAGGTCAAGAAACTTGGACTGCACTATGAGTTTCTGGACCTCTGGTTCCTTGTCTTTTTTTTTTTTAAAGCCACACATTTATTTCTCTTTCTGACTCTGGGCTTGTGCCTTCAACACTTTCACAACAATTTGCTGCTCCTCAGTAAGGAAAGTCCACTTGATCCTGTCACAGACACACTTGGCACACATGGAGCCACCATAGGCCCTGCTGACATGCTTCTTTGTCTTAGACGATCTCATGAGGACTTTTGGTCTCACAGCACGAACCCCTCGGAGTAGGCCTGGGCACTTACTGCATGCTGATTTAGGTGCTTTTCCAACCTTCATGGTGTAAAGGTAAACAATCCTGTTGCTAGGGGTTCGAGACAGCCTAGTTTTGTTAGAGGCTGTGTTGTAGGAGAGCCTACGAGGGTATGTCAAATGCTGGACCATTCTGAGTGCCTCTAAGCACCATTCCGGGAAGAGGAAAAGGAATGGGAGGGCAAGGGCAAAGGTCAAGTAGGACTCCTGGTTCCTTGTCTTTAAATTGAAGAGGCGAGACCAGATTTATTCATGCCAAAAGTATCATTTGATTATGAAAAAAAAAAAAGATGAAGTCTCTTCCATCAAAGATCTTCCGTTCCATTAAAGAAAGCAGGTGGTCAAATAAGACCAAATACTACATGTTTTGTGCTACAAATGAAATGAATATGTAAATATATGGTGGTGAAGGACTTTTCAAGTTGCAGGATGTGTGTGTGTGTGTGTGTGTGTGTGTGTGTGTGTGTGTGGTGTATGCATGTGGAAAGGTGCTTCCATGTAGAGTATCTAAATATGAGCTAATGTGTGGTGTGCTCAGAAGTCAATGTTTGGAGTGTCTTAATCATCCTCCATATTATTTTTCTTGAAACGCCATTTCTTCACTGAATCTAGAGCTCACCCATTAGCTGAGAACACTACCCGGTGAGCTCTAAAGATCTGTCTGGCTCCATGTCTTCTCCACACTACTGGAGTTGTAGATGAGCATAGTTGTGCCCAGCATTTTTACGCATGTGCTGGGGATCTCAACTCGGTTCCCAAGCACATTATCAAATCGCCTCCCAAATCAGAGATCAGAGCATTTAATATAAAGGATAAGAAGAATAAGCAACAACCTAAGCCAAGCAATAGCTAAGTCTTTTTTCTTGTTCATGTAGTTTATGATTCTGTGTAAAAATATGCTGAATTTTCCAAGCACTGTATAGGGAATTGATGCTTCACTAAAACTAATACCCAGTTCTTCGTGTATTCGGTGAAAGGAAATGAAAGTCTTAAAATACATACTCATGGAGTTGTCTGAAAAATAAAATCTGATAATAAATATTAAGTTCATAGTACATCACCATTTTGAATATATATATATATAATAACTTTAATGCTTTAAAGTTTATAAATATAAACTTATAATATATATAAAGTAATATGATGTGGGAGTGTCATATATCAATCTGTTGATTTCATTGGTCAATTAAATAAAGAAACTGCTTGCCCTGATAGGTTAAAACATAGGTGGGAGGAGTAAACAGAAGGAAGAGGAAGTGAGGTAAGACTCCTCAGACAGACCTGAGATAGCTCTGCTCTCAGAGACACATGCGATGAAGCTCCGACTCAGGATGGACGTAGGCTAGAATCTTCCCGGTAAGCGCACCTTGGGGTGCTTACACACATTATTAGAAATGGGCTAGTCCAGGTGCGAGAGTTAGCTGAGAAGAGGCTAGATATAATGGGCAAGCAGTGTTTAAAAGAATACAATTTGTGTGTTGTTATTTCGGGCATGAGCTAGCAGGCGGCCGGGGTGCTGGGGACGAAGCCCCGCCGTCGCTCCTTATTTCAACAGTTATAAATATATTTATAAACTTTAAAGCATTAAAATTAGCTGTGCAGGCCTTTAAAGCATATGCCTTTAATCCCAACACTTGGGAGGCAGAGGCAGGTAGAAGTCTAAGAGTTCGAAGTCAGCCTGGTCTACAAGGACTAGTTCCAAAACAGGCTCCAAAGGTACAGAGAAACACTAACCCCAAAAATGAAAAAAAAAAAATGTAAGTTACAGATAATAGTTACCTCTGCTGGAGGCATTGGGAGATATAATTAGGACAGAATATGTAAAACAACTGTTTAAGTGTCTTTTCCTTTTAATATTATTTATTTAATATTTAATCTAATAGTTTTCACTGTGGCCCTTTCTAGTGTTAATATACTTTGTACTTCATCTTCTTATCCACTGTCTTCCTCTGACCCCTACCAGCTCTGTGAGTACTCTGTCTCCTTGCCAGTCATTCTGTTCCTGGTTTCATGTTACAGTCCATTATCTTTTCTTTCACTTTTCTCATTCCTTTTAGAACTCCTCTTCTCCTCTCAAAATCCTCTCTTTTTTTGTTTTCTGTTCTATTCAAACAGACTTAGCAACACCTAAATTTAAATCTAAACTCTGCATAACGGAGAAATATATATGTGTCTTTGTAAGTTTGACTTATTTCACTTAGCATAATTATTTCCAGTTCCAGCCATTTTCCTGATAATGTCAAAATTTTGTTCTATTTTCATGGCTGAAAAACTCCATTGTGTTTCCATGGCACATTTTCTTGTTTTTTTTTTTTTATCATTTTGATCTACATATTCATTTTCTACATAATTTTCACTGTTTATTCTTATGGTGAAGAAAATTAGGTTGATTCTATTTTTTATCTTTTACAAATAGTACAGCAACAAACATATATGAACTTCAATTTGATCATGATTCTGTTAGCTAAAAGTTATATGCCCATGGGCAAGTTAAAACCACCTTTTACCTATTTCTTCTTCATTGTCTTCCTAAGTGATAATATAATGCACAAAATAAAATAAATTCTCAAAAGCATCTCAATCGTTATCAACATTGCTTTTATTCTCCTCTACCCACACAAAGGTAAACTAGAAAGGAGTATAAACCCTGGGAATCATTGTCTCATTGTCTGTCTCATCCTTTTAAATTCTTACTCAGGTAAATGATGAAAAAATAACACATAAAAAATTAATCTGCATGCCAAAAATACTTTAAATTTCTCTATAGTTAGTTTCTCTACACTGGCCAAAAGACCCTGATGAAATGCATCAATCACATATAGAGAGAATTAAAGAAACAAAATTTTAAATCCAAAGCTTATAAATTTAAAAGGATAAAGGAACCCAGACAAACCCATTGCCTCCTACAAGTTTACAAGATGACAGATATGGGCAAGGGCAATTTAGTCACAGAGGACTCTCCAAGAGATAAACATTTGAAGCTACTTTTCCCATAAACCATCACTGCCATTCTGGCCATACTACCTTACCTAACTGAAATTGATTGGAGACATTCCCACATGTTTGCATTACCTCCGGACTGTTCCATCCTAAAGGATATAATGCACAGCCTGAGCTTATCAGCAGCCCTGGAAAGAAAAGCACACACACACAAGTAATAAAATAGAGCAGTTTTTGATCATCCTAGCAACTTCCCTGGGCTGCTTCACATTAAATTCTGCCTCCTCTATTCAAGCCTGACACTTATCTCTAAAATACAATATTTCTATTATATTGTAAATTCAATTACAGTATCATAGATAGATAGATAGATAGATAGATAGATAGATAGATAGATAGTTAAGTAGACAACTCATAAAGACAGAATGAAGTTAAGATAGGTCAATATCATACTTACAGCCACTTTTTCTTTCTTGGTCACAGACAGTCTCACTATGAGGCCTATTCTGACATCAAACTCTCTATGAAGCTACTGAACTACAGACTTCATACATGTTGAGGATACTTTGCATGGTAAACAGGATATTATACTCCCTCTTCTTCAAAATGTTATTTCAACCAAATCCTGAGCCTTCTTTGACTTCTATCAATTTCTTTGACCTGTCATGATTAACTTTGACTGTCACCTTGGTGGGATTTATATTAACCTAAGAGACATACCCCTGGGCATGTCTGTCTGTGTGACCCTTTCTAGGGAGGTTTGACTGGGATGGAAAGAACTAGACTGGATGTAGGTCATACCAGTAATTCCGTGCCTTAGTGTGCTAGTCTGAAAAAAAGACAAGAAAGTATGTGCAGCAGCATTCATCTCCCTCTACTTCCTGACTGCAGATGCCACTTCTAGGGAACTTTTAGGTGCCACAACGTCTAATTGAGAGCCAAATAAACTTCCTTAAAGTTTCATAAGGTATTTCTTCCCAGAAACACCAAATGGAACTAGTAAAGCCCCATTCACTTATCTCCATTGGCTTAGGCCTCTTGGTCATGATCGGGGAACACTGTGGCACTTTAATAAAAACCTTACTCTTCAAACCACAGCTATTTGTCTGGGTTTACTTGCCACCATAGTGTCCTAGGAGTACCTGACTCCTTTTTACAACCCGCGACCCTACCAGGCCTTTAGCTCTAGAAATTTAGAACAAACATTGGTACCTGACACTAAATGAAACCAAATTCATTGACTATCTAGTAATGGGTGCCATCATAGCCAGACCTCAGGAAATAAACAGCACTAGATTTTGACTTATGAAACTTTTAAATAACGTATAGTGGTATGTAATGCTAATCTAGGTACTTTCAGAAACTAAGGTAGGAGAATTATGCTTCAGGCTGGGTTGCTTGGCCTGTGCAAAGGATTAGTCAGGATTAATGAGAGCCTGTACTGAAATGAAAAGAAAGGACAAACCGGCAACAAAACAAAACAAAGCATGGAACTGCTGGCATAATTCACAGATAGCACCGGCATTGAAAAAAAAAAAAAAGTTGAGGAGGGAGATCCAAGTCTCTATAACGCTAAAGCTACAGTTTAGAATTGAAATCTGAGAAAGTAGGCAAAGCAATTGGTGGAGCAAGTAACAAGGTAGAATAGTGACATGAATCAGACACATCATGAGATAAATTCCTTTCTGCTGATGGCATGTAAAATGTAAAATGTAGAAAGCAGAAGCTGCTTCTCTTTGTTAAGTGTCTGGTTCCGATTTCCTAATGTATGTGTATTTTCCTTTTTCCCTGAGAAGACTCAAGTGAATCTGTATATTTTAAACCAAAATGGCTCGATTTCAAGACTCTGTATGCCACACCTAAGAGACAAGGAAAGGACACAACTGTAAAGAATGCACTGAAAGGAAACAGCGGACATGTAGAACACAGGAGCAGATGAGTGAACGGTGGGGACTAATTGGCAAGCTTGCAAGTCCCAGAGTCCTGGTGTCAGTCAGACAGGGAAGGTAAGGCTGATTTTCACTTTTCATTCTTCACTCATAGGTTCCCGAAGGCGTTCAAGAAGCCCACTTTGCATACAGAAGGTCTCAAATTGAGCAAGTGAGTTTGTCTGGCATATGGCTATTGGCTTTTCCCCATCCCCAGTGAGGCTATGGGAGAAATGACAGATCTTAACGTATAGAAAAAATAGTTTAAATATGGAAAGAGGAAGAACTTTCCTGACTGGCAGTGAGAAGTTTGTAAAAATAAAGAGAGATCGAATTAAGTCTTGAATCCTACTTCAATGGAAAGCTTAAAATTATAGAGTATCCTTATCTGTCTTGTTGTCTTCCAGGAAATGAAACTTGTCACTCAGAGACCTTTCTAGACTTTAGAATTTCGCCAGTGACAATGGAACAATACCCTTCATTTAAATTCTAGCTAAACTGAAATTCTGTAATATGAGACAGTTCAGAGTACCCACAATGGGTAGAGACAAAAGTAGAAAGGAAAATTGAGCCCTTTCTTGTTGCGATAGAAATAAACTAAAATAAATAAATAAAATAACTAAATAACCTAAAATAAAATAACTAAAAACTGAGACATTGGGTGTGGTAGCTTTTCATAACCCTAGCACTTTGGAGGCTGAGAAAGGAAGATCATCATGATGACATAGCTTAGGCTACATAGGAAGTTCCAGGCCAGGGATAGCTACAGTATAAGGTCCTAACTCAAGGAAAACAAACATGAGGAAGAAAGAAAAAGAAAGGAAAGAAGGAAGGATGGATAGATGGATAAAGGGGGAAAGGAAAGGAAGGAAAACAGGTAGACGGGCAAACAGAGAAAAGAAAAACAGAGTTTTCCCATTTTCTCTAAGGGTAGCCTTCTGAAGGAATTTCCTCAGCTAGATTGGGAGATAATTCTGGATATCTTGTATAGTCAATAGCATCTTTTCTATTCTAAGACATTATGTTTATTTTTAAATTTATTCGGTATTTTTAGCTTGAGAATTTCATAAATGGGTACTATATTGACATAATTTCCCACCTCAATTTCTTCCCTCCAACTGCTCCTATCATAGAACCCTGCATAGCAAAAGACCTTTAGATATTTTGCCTGTATTCCTAAGATTGTGCAGCTGGTCATTGACAGGACACTTGTAATCTAAAACTGATTAACCATTAGAGTCTCTCTTGTTCTAGAGTTCACTTTTCAAGAATGACTACTTTTGGGGAAGACAAGTTCTATCAGGCCTTAGGTATTTCACAAGCATGAAATCTGGACAAACCACAAAACATGACACTTTATGAGAACAAGCTCTAGAATCTTCCTAGACCTCAGTTGAAAGTTCACCTGACCTCAGACAAGCTACTTTTGATGTCTCTCTCTGTCTTAATTCCCTTCATTTTAAAATGTAAATAATAACAATACCATATCCTATGCAGACATTTGATGTGGGAGCCCCCTCTGTATTCTGTAACTACCGCTGATTAATAAAGAAGCTACTTTCAGCCAATGACTTAACAGAATATAGCCAGGCTGGAATATATATATATATATATATATATATATATATATATATAGAGAGAGAGAGAGAGAGAGAGAGAGAGCATGCAGAGTCAGAGACACTATGTACCTTCCAGAGGAGATGAATACCGGAAGTGATAAACCATGAGCCTCATTGTGATGCACAGATTAATAGAAATGGGTTAATTTGAGATGTAAGAGGTAGCTAGAAATATGCATATGTTAATAGGCTGAGCAGTGTTTTAATTAATGCAATTTCTGTGTGGTTATTTTGAGTCTGGGCAGCCAGGAAACAAATGAGCAGTCTCCGCCTACAGACATTTCAATAGCCAACGAGATTAATAAATATCAAGTGACAGATACTTAAAGTACTCAACTAAGATTTGTTGTTATTAAACAACTGCTTTTCCTCATGGCTCGACTCCCAATTTCTGACCATATTCCTCTGTTAATTGTTTCCTCACTTTGCCTTCACAACAAACAGCTGAAAAGCCAAAAGTTGAACAGTACTTCATTCAAAAGCTGCCAAATTGAAGTCATTATTTTGCGATTTTTCAGGGGTACCTCAAAGGGAGCAGGGGCTCCCTTTGAGGCGTAGGTCCTGTCTAACACACATACAATAATGCTCTACTCCAGCTCTCCCCCAATGCCTGTCTCCCCTACTGTCTTGTAGATGGTAAGTACACTAGAGTGTAAACACACTTCATGCACATATTTCTCTTGTGACTAACAGTCTCAATACATTTTATCATAGCTGTAAAATTTTGTCCTAGAGAGACACATTAAAAAGGAAAAATGAAATCACAGGGTAATTCTTCCTCAGTTAGATTTGTCCCCACCAGTTCTCCTTCTCTATTTGGAATTGTTACTAGCAACCATGCTGAAACTTTCCAAGACAGCAGCAACTGATTAAAAATGTACATTTGATATTTTTGTTTTATTGTCTTTTTTTTGGTTGTTTTAAATTGTCTTTTTCAGTTTGGGAGGTTTATTTGAGAGACAGAGAAAGAACATGAAGTTGAGTGGGTAGGGAGTTGGGAAGGATCAAGAAAGAACTGGGAAAGGGGAAAGAATATGGTCAAGATATATTGTGTGTAAATTTTTAAAATAATAATTTAAATAAAATAAAATAAGTAAAAATGTGCATTTGTATCTATACATAAAGGACTCTTAAATCAGCATACCACAGAGACATCTACAAACCCATGGTTAGTTTCAACACTATTTACAATAGCTAATATATGAAACCATATATATGTTTATCAATAGATGAATGGATCAGAAACATAACACATGTACACACAATGGAATTTTATTCACTCATAAAGAGAAACAAAATCATGAGACTTGAACAAAAATGGAAGTGGAGATCATTAGGATAAACCAAATAAACTTGACTCAGAAAGACAGATCCATATTTTTTCTTCATATAAAGTACCTATTTTGTTAAGCGTATAAGTAGAACAAAATGCAGGTGGGCATCTATGTCAGTGAATGAAAGGATCTAAAGATCAGAGAAACAAGGTAGGGAAGTGATTGAAAATCATAGCAAAACCCATTATTTTCCATTCTGTTTTATATAAAGTAACTTTAAAGTTACTAGCAGTAAAAATGTAGATTCTTGGGTTTTATCACCAAGTATTTAGATGCACACAAGGAATGTGATTGTTAAAATTCCCTG